ACTCCACGCAGAAAGATCCCGGGTGTCCTCACCGGGACGCGAACCGGTGACCTTCTAGCGACGGTGCTAACCACTGAGCCACCTTGCATCCCTTGTGTACATTCATGCAGCATTAAATTCAGGAGGATTAGATTCTGACATTATCTATATAGTGTATTGGAATCTTAAACAAATTAATTATTGAGGTAATTTATTGTTGATGTTTGTCTTCCCTATATGGTATGTTGAATGTGAAATGTGTTTTTCTTCGTTTCAATGACCTTTGGAGGCCTGTACGATCTACTTTTATGGACTCACTTAACTTCGGACAGCATGAAGATAAATTTGATGAATTTTTAAAAATTCCATATATATTTAGAGCTGAATGAAATCTGAGAAAATAAGACCTCATTGTATTAATCTATATAAGGTCCATGCAAGATTTTGTAGACATATATGTCTTTGGGGAATACAGTTAGGCTTTTAGGCCTTCACATCGTAGTATTTTAGTCATTTAATGAAAGCAGTTTTGGGGCATATTTATGATCATTACTACATAGATTGTCTCTGAAGGTCTAGCACTGAACTGTCATGAATAACCATTAATAACACTTTTGAATACGCTCGTCCTTCTCCTACACAGTTATCTCATGTGAATAGTTGCTTTGTCTTAAATGACGCTGCCCAATATCTAAAATCTCTATAATAATACATTCATACAAGACAGTTTCTTTTGCCACTGTTATATTTTGAAGCATTTGTTGTCTGTGAATATTAATCCCATGTTGCTACAAGAGAGTAACATCCCTTTAAGATAATTATATTTTCAACAACTACAAAAACCTAATGATACCACTGTGACAAAGAGGGTGAACTTCCTGAGGTATTAAGTCTTTCATACACATGACTGCAGTGATATTGAGGCATGAGTGGTATCACCTGTAGTTTAAACATTCCTTCACAGACCTCAACTCGGACAACTCCTACCCACCCAAAACAGCTCCGTGGATAAATCCTCGTATTGACATCCGGCTAGCTGTCAAGCAGAGAGTCAGTCTTTACTGACAAAACACAAGCGACCAGCAAAGAAAAAATGATCAGTGGATTATTCTCGACTTTATCTCACGAACTGTTGGCAGCTACTGTCGGGGATAGCCACAACACAGCGGCCAGAGCCAATCAGATGCCAGGAAACCGTGAGTGATCCGCCCCGCAGCCAATCAGCATCAAGAATACCAGGGTCTCAACAGATAAGTGTCCTTATTTCGGGAGTGAAATGTCAGCCATATTTACAGTTTTAAAAGACAGTTAAAAGCTTTTCTACGGGTTAATTCTTCCTATTATTTCAGTCAAACTGAAGCAGCGTGTATCACCTTTTGAAGTCGGGATAAGAACGGCGCAATCGTGTGACAGTACTCTGACATTAAAAGTGCCAAGAGAAGTGAATTTATCAGCTAGCTAGAATGCTAACTTTAATAGATGGGCAGTCCTAACGTTAGCTGGTTTGTTATATTTTTTATAGCATTGACAAGACACATAAAAAAATAAATCATTGCTAGCTAAAATGGAGCTAAAAGTTCTGAACCGCCCAAAAAAAACAGGGAAAGCAGGGAAGCAAATTCAAGCCATCTTACCTATTATGGCAACTGAGTGACAGGGTAGCTCGACAGCCGGCGGTCTGAAGCCGCTCTTACAGTAATGGTAGCCTGCCAGGCGCCTTACACTCCCGAAGCTAACAGCTACCGTTAGCCAGCCACAGTTTGCTGCTCCAGCCGGTCAATTTTATAACGCCCCCGTTTCTTCACAACACGACGTTTGGGAGGCAAGCAGTCAATCCCAGAGGCTTACTGAAAACGAGACGTGTGTATTTGCATTAAGAACCTGAGAAACGGCTTATTGTCGACCCAGTTTAGTGGGAAAGAGAAGCTGTAGCCTCCTTCGGCTAGTTGGCTGTTTGGAGTCCAGAGTGCTAATGATAGCAGCCATAGTGACGCACAGCACGTCCGGCGCGCATTTCAAAATAATGTGTCTGAATGTTTGACCACCGAAACAGCTTAAAAATACGTTTAACCACAGAATGCAAGCACCACCCAGTTGTTTTGGCCAGCATGTCTTATTTATGATGAGTGATGAGCTCCAGACTGCCTTTCAACAGTCGCATGCCTCTTTGCATGAGATAAAGTTGGTACTAAATGCTAAGAAAACCAAAAATCTTTTCCAAATATCTCACACAGCGCCATAACTAAACTGAACCAGTATCTTCCTACAAATACTGGGCTATCCGTGTGGACAAAAGACTTCTGGTTGAGCATTTAGTGGAAAAAAAGAAAAATAATTGTTATCATAATTATGATCAAAATAGAGCCTGACTCAATTTTTGTACCTTTTGTATTTACTTTCCACTTCTTTAGTTCTGACTTTTATGAATTCTTTATAGGAGGTATTCTTTTTTTTGTATGTATTCTGACGTATTTTTGTCATCCAAGGCCTGTCTATGCACTTTTGTTCATCATATTATGACTTAAATGTTATCAGGAGTGTTTCATACGCTTTCTTGGCATTAGCCTCTTTAAGCACTTGATGCATTTCTGAATTTATTTATAGCTTCTTCTGTTCTTACTCTCCTGAATATAATCCGATTAACATCCGTACACTTAACATTATCACAAACAAACATTACAAAAACCGGCAAGTGGTCACTGATGTCATTTAGTAGTAACTCACTCTTTATGCTGTTGTCTATTAGAGTTGCACAGTGAGATGTTATTCTGCTTGGTTTGGTGATAAGTGGAGAACAATACATCGATGCATTCATCAGTCAGTTTGTGCTTGTGGGGATTTAAGAGATCTAAATTAAAATCCCCACAAGTGAGCACAACCTTGTGATCTTTCTTTGCAAACAATCTTTCTGTACTATTCTTAAATGGTTGAATATTGGAGCCAGGTGCTCTGTCGACACAGCTCACGATCACATTTTTCTTTTTTTCCAGGTAGATTTCTACAGTAATAATCTCAATCACATCATCAATATTAGTTGTCATATTTTCCACTATGTTATAATTCAATGTTTTATCTACATACCAATCCTTTTTTTATTTTTTCTGTTTATATATTTCAGTTCATACCCATTTAACCTCAAAATCCACCCTTTTCAGTGCTAAGCCAGGTCTCAGGTATGGCTATCACATTAAATGGTTTGTTTAGATGACTCAGGAATTCTTTAATGTTGAGAAAATTTGCATATAAACTTCTGCTATTAAAATGAATAATTGACATCCCATAATCTGATTTCACGTTCATGTTAAACTGATCTTCAGAGTAATAACGGCAGCTGTTGTTTATCTTGTTAAGAAAATTATTTTCAGGGTCAATGTCTTGTTCAAAATCATTCATATGATGATCAGTGAATTTAAATATTTTAAAGTTCCAATCATCTCTGTCCCTTTCATTTCCAGCCATTGTCAAGTTTAAACAGTCAAGCTCTTCACAAGAGTCCAGAGTCATAATAGTTCAGGTCAGTCACACTGATAGACAAAGTCACTGTTCTGGAGTCACTGGTACTGGTCCAGCTCCTCAATATCTCTTATGGTCAGCACTTCAGCTTCCTCTGGTGACCCGTTTAGCTTCATGAACACCTTAGGAAGCATGCACTTCTGGCAATGTCTGCATTTTTCTTTGTCAGGTGCTCATTCACAGAAACATCAGATCCCTTGAGCTTTTTCCCTTGTCTGAATGCATTTTGTGTTTCCTGTTTGTAAAACTCATTATTATGGCCGGTTTGCCACTTTGTTTTTTTTTTGATGTAGGGAATGACATGCCTCCATGTCTGTATTGGATATGGATATGCCTTTGCTATGAAAGAAAGCAATTACCTGTAGCTCCACGGAGTCTTGGTCGGTGTGCTCCCCGTCGGCCATTGCTGTTACTGCCCTGGTCTCCAGCCCGCTGACAATAATGTCATTCATGCTAGTGTCCCGCTCCAGGTCTGCTACGCAGCATTCTAGGCTGGCGATCTTCTTATCTTTCTCCTCATTTTG